TTAATTTACTATTAGTTTACTATTCTAAGCCCTACTGAAAAATTAATTAAGCTTGTCAGGTTACGTCCATTTCATTTGTACAGCCAAAACTTACAAAACACATCTGTCTCAATGGACTTCAAAGTTTTAAACAAAATTGCAATCAGAAATATCCCCTTACAACCCATATATCAGGGTAAATGTCTACACAATACAAAAGTAAAGAATCTAGTTCACAAATATTATTGAAAACCAAATTAAATTGCACGCTGAGCAGCATTTTGGCCACAGTGGGAAGGGAAAAAAAAAAATTTCCCTTTTAACAGGAAGAAATCTCCAGCAGATCCTGGCACAGTGATGCCGTCTGCCTCAGCTTGTGTCTGAATTTTTCCATTGTTTTACTTTATTTTTAACTCAATCAGCATTCAGTGTGGGATCAAATATTAATATTTAAACTGCAGGTAAATCAGCGTCCACCTACTCCCTGTCCTAATCTCTAACCAGTCACAGTGTGTGCCAACCTTGTCTGTATTATATCTAAATAATTAAGTATAGTTTATGTGTGAAACTGACAACCTGTGATACTGTGTACAATGTTTTAAGGGTAAGGGTCAGAACTAGTGGGGGCAGATATTTGTTTTATTATGATGAGAGGAAACCAGATGTTGTTGTTTATTGTTGTCATTGTGTTGACTAGTTTGACAAACTAAAAGTTGTGAATTTGATTCACGTTCATGGAACTCCATTTGTGAAGAACATTAGAAAAACAGACGATCCGCTGTGGCAGCTGATAAATCAAGTGTCTGACAGATAAAAATAAAAAAATAAAAAATAAATGACACATCAAGGACAACTGTTAGGTTTCTGAACACATTTTTCTGCATTTTAAGTTTAGGTGACAAGGTAAGTAAACAAAAAAAGAGCAATTTTCCCAAACCAGTTCCAACCAATATAATAATTATAATCACAGTGAAACAAGTCCAGCTAATAAAGAGCACACTTCTACACAGAGACACAACCAAGTCCTTTTATCCGTGAACAAAATTATTTCTTATGGTCAACTATTTATATTTAGTTTGTCGTCATAAATGAAAACTTTTTTTTATTATTTATTATTATCAAATGTTTCCTGCAATTTACTGAATTGAATGGATCAAATCACTTGTCAACATTAGTAAGGTTAGAGATCTGGTTATTCAACTAATGAAAAAATAAACATCACCAGTTGTCTCCAAACACACAGTTTTTCTTGTATGAATCATGTTGGTCCTATAATATGTGTGTGTGTGTGTGTGTGTGCGTGTGGGTGTTCTGCTGCTGCCTCCCCCCAAAACTCTAAACTTTTCTTCTATTCATCCCAACTACAATGGAACCCCACAGAGGTTTTCTTCCTGGTTCCCTGTCGGCTCCACCCATCTCCCCCCACAGGGCAGGATGGAGGGGCAGGGGGTTCCCTGTCCTGCATGCCCAGCAGCAACCTCAGCTCCCATCTGCCATTGAAACTCTCCCTCCTCCTCCTCCTTCTCTTCCACCCTAAGGTCCTTTCCATTTATCCATCCCCCGCTCTCACTTTTGGTTAAACTTTTTTTTTTTCACATTTATTTGTGATCCATTTAGATAAAGTTGTGACATTCCTGTATTTTATCCGTTTTCCGGCAACAACAACATTTTCTGATAAATGTGATGAACCAGACACCAACCAGTAATTACTTTTCATTTATAGCAACTTTTTTTTCTGTTTCTCTTTGAATAACATAGAGGCTGAAGGAGTTGGCATGCGCCACAGTATTGATTAAATCATTACTACCCTCATTTTAAACACCTCAGAAACCCATTTTCTGTGCGGCAGAAAAATAATGACCAGCGATTAAAATTATATTCATCTCAGGTCTGCCAATCTCAGCTCAAAACTTTCCCCGGCTACTAATTCTACTTTCCATTTTTTATAGTCAGCGTCCTCGTCCATTTACCTCTCTGTTTTGCTGTCTTACAGAGGCTCTGCTGTTTGGCGCAGATTTATTGTCCAATCTAACATGTACAATATTGGAAAAGCATTAAACCTGTCTACTCTTAATACTGTGAGCTCTCTCCATCGATAAGAGCCTTAATAAAAACATCTCCCTGGTGGATTTGTTTCTCTTTTTCACTTTCCATCCTCGGTGCCTCTTTCCTCCGCAGCGTTCGTCTCTCAGCACAGTTTCTGCTGCTCCTACTTTGCAAACTTGAAGTGAGATCCTGCTCCACATCACTTGTCTCCCTCTCTACCAATTTCTTCACTTGTTCAGAGCCCGATTCTTTGGCCTGTGCCAGAAGTTTAATGATGCTTGAATGCCACTGCTATGGAGTTTTTTTTTCACACTGCTCTGCTTTTCACATAAGAAATATTTAAAAGCAGTGCTCTGAGATCAGTCTATCTCAGCGTGGCTCTTGAGGATTTTTTTTTCCTTCCGTCTTTGTGATTTGTCTTTTCACATTGAGACATTCAGTGCTACCATCCTTGTTTGGTTCCTGTATTTCCTTTGCAACAATCCCCAACTGCAATTGGCACACTTGCTTCAAGTGCCACTCATTTACGTGGCTCTTACATGCCTATTGGTACCCTAAAAAACTCTGTCAGTTCCGCCGAGAGCTGAGCAGCTGTTTCTTCTCCTACCTCGCTCCCCTTTGCTGTCTCTGATGTCAATTTTTTTTCAGCATCATAAGCACATTTTAAATATTAACAAAGTCCACTTTGCACATATGAATAATACAGCAGAGAGGGCAGTGCCTAGCCAGCGATCCCATCCCCTGCCGCCTGACGCTCATAAAACTAATGCACTGCTCCAGGACAGGGTGAAGTCTGGTCGGGGTTTGCAGGCAGGACTCACCCGACGAACTTGTCCAGGCTGTCGCCTGCTCCAAAGAAAACTGTCTGTCCGCTTCACTTATCACGATGCAATCGCTTGTCCTCAGCGTGGCAGCACTTTTGTTATGGCTACATGTATAATCTAATCTCACATTTCAATCTGTCAAAGGTCTTTGAAGACAAATCTACTTCAGTGTTTGTTTGAGCTTAGCCTTTTTTTGTTGTTGTTGTTGTATCTGCTTTTTATGACTTTTAAAAATACACCTTTAACGCCAGTAAAATGCAGACAAACATTTCAGTAACTCTCTATCTCAATCATATTTTTTTAAATGAAAGACTGTGGGCCTGTTTGATGCAGCTGCAGTGTTATTCAGGAGTGAAAGGATTAACACAAATCACACAACACATCCTGGAAGAGTGTCACCATTCATCCAGTCCTCCAAGGGAGTGTCCGACATGCTACGCTTCCTAACTCTGAACACTCAACTGCCCCGTCGCTACCCTGGCCCTCACTCTCACTCTGCTCCTGTCTGACCTCCTGGTTTCGGTTCAAGTGACCATCCAGACACACACACACACACTTACACACACCCAGTCATTTAAGGATTTTGAGGGACATCAGTGTGTAAACACACTTCCCGTCTGTTGGTTTCTGTAAATCTGATGAAGTCATTAATAATGACACACGCTGAGACAGACAGTGGACAGCAGGGCAGTGACTCCAGACAAGTGTTCCTGCAGTCTTGGTAATTAATGTGTACATCAACACAGAAAGAGGATCTCTGTGTGAGAAATGTGAGCTCAGCACATTCTCAACACAAGGAGACGTGAGGAGATCCACTCAGGGTGGCAGGGGTCGTGGGGGGGTTCTTACACAACGAGAAAGAAGACAAATACTTTGTCTGTGCCATAACTATACCAGTGGCTTCTTCTCTCCCAGACAGAAACTTTACTGGGACACACTGAGCCATTGTCCCCTGGTGTCCCCTGTCCCTCCCTGTTTTATCAGTCTTTCTTGTTTCTCGTGCTTGTGGATTTCAGAGCGCCACAAATTCTAATAAACATAAGCTGCTTTTCTGCTTTGATAATAATACAGTAACAGGGTTCTTTAGAAGGTAAAAGGAGGGTCAAGCGAAAGGAGTGATTTAAAAATGAACACATAGTGTCTGTTGACACACAGTGTGGTCCAAAAAATACAGTATATTGGATTTTTTTTTTAACTTTGTTGATGCGGCCTTTCAGCTGAGCTATTGCAGATTCTGCACTCATTGTTGTCCACATTGTTCTCTTTTTCCCTTTAAACCAAGCTTAATCCACAATCCACTAAAGCCTCAGATATCGGCCTTGGATTTCATTCTGATCTGGCAGTGGGAGTGGAGAAAATGTCCTGGCCTGCCTACCAATAACCCGAATCATTATTCTAACCCTGGCCAGTGCTACCTTAGTGCAGGTCCTGTCCCATCACATGTCCTGGGAGCCAAGTGGATTCATCTCTGTGAGAGCTGGCTGTAGTCTTTGATGGCATTAACACTGGTCAATCCACTGATAAAAGTCAGCTTTTTCCTGATCAAAGCCTGCTCTTTTCTTGCCAAAAAACAACAAGGAAGAGGATAATGATTTTTTTTTTGACAGACACTAGTATTTAAGAAAAAAAAGCTTTAAAACAATACAAAACAAAAAAGAAGAAATTCTCTATCTTGAAAATGAGAAGAATCTTTTCCCCTGAAGCAGCCGGAGTGCTCTCTGATACACTTCACAGAGATTTACTTTTTCTTCTTCTTTTTTTTTAAAGGGCCAAAAAGGCATGGGGCAAAGGCTTAATTACTCCCTGCGCACCAGGGGACTTTGATTTTTCCGCTTCAAGGAGAAAACAGTGCAGTGAGCTCGGTTCTACCGAGAGGCTAAAGCCTTCTGTTCTGAGGGAAGAAAATGTTGGTCAGCACGGCACCCTGACCCCTGCACTGCTACCACGGATACACCATGATCCCAGAGCAGTTCCCTACGGACGGAAAGTTGGGGTCTGCAGGTGACAGAGAATCGATACACACTTGATTCGGTCAAAGTAACTGAATCAAATGGTCACCATCTGCGTGCGTAAAGCGTGTTACAAATGTTGCACCACACGTGTTTACACTCTCATCCCGATAATGCGGCACAATCAAGTTGTATCACTCACCTGTGTCAGAAGCGACACATCCGCCCACCAGGAGGAGGAGAACCAGAGGACCGAGAGCTTGGCCGCGCGGCATCCGAGGAGAGAGCATCTTCTCCGGCTATGCAGTCGCGAAACGTCCCCTGGCGCTTGCGCGTGGTCCAAAAAGTCTTTATCCCCACAATCTTTTCTCAGCCCAGACCTTGTGGTAAAAAGTCCTTGGAATGCTGATGCTGATGTGTTTTTGGGGAGTTATTATCACTGCAATATTTAAAGCGCATCCATCGCCGGGTAAATTGTCAGAGAAGCAGAATCAGGTTGTAATTTCCGCCTTTAGTCAAAGTTTGAAGATGTCCGTGTCACACAGTGTGATAAGAAATGGAAATGGAAAATATATCATCTTCCAGTGTTGTCAGTGACCAGCATCAGTGACAACCGGGAGCGATAACTTGCCGAAACTCACCCAAAAAGTTTGACGCGTCGCTACTGCGATAGAATGAATAAAAATAAGGAGAGATAGAGATAGAGGGAGAGAGGGAGAGAGAGGGAGTCAGTTTCCCAGCAGGAGTACCACAAAGAAGACAGCGTGAACAGGCGGCTCCGCTGCAGACTGAGCTCCGTGGTCCGTACTGGGCCACTGTGTGACCAGTTTCGTCCTGGTCGCTCTCTCTGCAAGGTGTAAACAAGAGCCAACGCGCAGCGCAAAGCCAGCCTCCGGACTACCAGACCCCGCCTGGCCAATCACACACCACCATCACCTCCGTCCTCCTCCTCCTCTGAGTGAAGGCTGGAGAAGTGAAGGTAAACTAGGAGCAAGAGAGGAGGAAATAGCAGGGAGTGGAGAGACAGAAAACCCGGACCCAAGCTGATTAAATAACTCCAC